AATTTACCCCATCAACCATGATGAGTGAGGATGAATTAGAACAAATCTGCTCTTTGGAGATGGGAAGAGGCCTCACCTTAAGCGGGTAGGGACTTCTCAAATTGGGCACTTTGCAACATTTCTCAAGCTCCACACGATGTTTTCAGTCTACTGAAAAGATACTATACACATAAAGCATTCTAAAAAAAAAATGACCAAACTTCATGAAAATGAGACTTCATTTATCAAATGGGCACAAATTCGAGAGTGGCAACACGCTGTACTGGTACCATAAAGAAACAGGCATTCTCCCATTTTGCTAGTAAGAAAACAAAATAATAAAGCCCAATGAAGAGAAATCTGGCCACATTTAACAGAATCATAAATAGCTCTACATTTTGACCTTGTTTTTTCATTTAATATGCCCTTAAAATATACTTCTGAATAGCACAATGCAAGGTTTTGCATTATGAATTTTTGTTAGTATCAGAAGAATGGAAACCACCCAAAGTTCATCAGTAAGGATTCTGGCTAAATACATGATGATATTTTCCCTCCCAAAATGATATAGCCATAAAGAAGAGAGACATTCTCTATGTGAATAGAGAGTAGAAAAGTAAGGTACAGAAAAATATATATAACTTGTGCCCTTTTATGTAAAAAGCAAAAAGAGGGAGAAAGAAGAATCCATACATGACTGTAATGCTAGCACTCTGGGAGACTAAGGCAAGAGGATCCCAAGTTCAAGCCTAGGCTGGGAAACTTAGAGAGACCCTGCCTCAAAAAAATAAATTTTTAAAAAAGGGCTAGGGATTTAGTTTCATGCAAAGGCTAGGTTCAATCCCATGTACCACAGAAAAAATAAGAAAGAATCCATATACATATTGTTGATTTTTTTTGTTAGTTTGTTTTTGTTTGGGGATCAAACTCAGGACCTTATGCTTGTGAGGCAGGTGAGGCAGGCATGGTACCACTGAGCTAAATCCCTGGCCTTTGATTTTTTTGTCAAAACTCATGCAAGAAACACAAAATGTAAGCTGATGAAAAGTGTTATCCATAAGGTGCGCGAGGACTAGGGAGACAAATGAGGAAAGAAGGGAGACTTCCCCCAATACGCCTTTTTAAATCATTTGAGTTTTGAAACATGAAAAGTTTTACATATTCAAATAAGAAAATTAAATCAAAGAGGGAAACTATGAAGTTCCTAACTTGAGACCAAACTGTAACCAAAGAACCTAACCACCCATCCATCTGCAGACAAAACCCACAGGGAACAGGCTTATTCCAAATAAACTCTTAGCACAGCACTAACTGTAAATCCAAGTGAGTTATAGTCTCTGCACAAAAAGATCTGCCATGAAATCTTAAACTTCACTCAGCAATTAATAGTTCTGATTGTGGCATAAAGCAAATGTGTATATTTGCTAATGTTTTGGAAACCACGATTTTTATTTTAAGAGAAAAACATGTAAATAGAAAAAAACCGATAGGGCCAACCTATGATGAATTTTAAGTGCTTGGATGGGATATTAGCATTGTGACAAAAAGCCTGCTTTAGGAAAGATTTAGAAAATAGACAAAGCAAATAGAGCAAACTGCAAATAGTTGTTGAGTATAGTTAGTAAATACGGGGGTGATTATTATACTAATCTTCCAACCCTTCTGCATATTTAAAATATTTCATAACAACAAATTAGACAGAAGTTATTCCATAATCCTGTTTTTTGAAAACCAGGTCTCTGGTTTTCACTTAGAAAGATATTGAGGGCAAATTTTGTCTTTAAAACACAGATCAGAAAATGAAGTAAGATTCCCTAACATTTGTTAGATGTTTGTAGTACACGTACAGACATCAACTTGATATTTGTACCACCACAGTGATGGCAGCATTACCCATAATAACCCAAATATAGGAGCAATCCAAGTATCCATGACAATAGGAATGATTCAGCAAAATGTGCATGTCAGCCTTGAAATAGAAGGAGATTCTGGACACACCTGAAGGACATTAGATTAAGTGAAATTAACCAGTCCACAGAAAGTTGACTGCATGGTTCCACTCATGATTCCATAGGAGGCTCTTAAAGTTGTCAAGTTCAGACAGAAAGTAGAATAGTAGTGACCAGGATTGGTGGAAGAGGGAAATGGGCATAGGTGTCATAGTTTCAAGATTTCTAGAGTTCTGAAGATTGTTTACACAGTATGAATACACTTAATGCGACTGAAGTGTACACTTAACTTGGCTATAATGAATTTTATAAGCAGTTTTACCAGTAAAAAATGTAATTAAAAATCAACTTATATCTAGAAAAATATATACCTAGTCACATGCACAGACTTGTTCCTTGTTTGTTTTGTTTTTGCAGTACTGGGGATTGAATCCAAGGCCTTTGCTCTTAAGCTACCTCCTCAGGCTTCTGCGTTTTTTATTTTGAGACAGTTTCCTAATCGCTAAGCTGTCCAGGATGGGATCAAACTTGTGATCCTTCTGCCTCAGCCTCCCAGAAAGCTGTGGGATTAGAAGTGGGCACAACCAGTCAAGAGTTTCTCTGCCACTTTTACTTCCCTTTTCATTCTGAATTGCTTAAGTTTATTTATACATGGAGCATTAATCAGTTTCATAAAAACCTGTTTTCACAAGAAATAAAACTTCTAAAGGTTCTCAGTGCTTGGAAGATGTGAGGATAAGAGCATGCTTTGGAAAATGGATTTTCAAGAAATTATCAGTGGAGGGGCTGGGGATTTAGCTCAGTGGTTCGGTAGCCTGCCTTGCAAGCACAAGGACCCGAGTTCAATCCCCGGTACCCCCCTCAAAAAAAAGAAATTATCAGTGCAGCCTGAGAAGTTTATTAAAAGCAAAAAAAACTATTGTGTGGTGGCTTGCCTTGCAAGCGCAAGGACCTGAGTTCAATCCTTGGTACCAAAAAAAAAAAAAAAAAAAAAAAAAAAAACTATTGTGCCGGATGGTGAGTGGTTGTTCACCTCTGAAAGCTAGGTCACCTGACCCCAGGCCTGACCCCTGTGACTTTGCTCACAGCTAAGGCCAGCAACAGGTAGTGGTGCTCCTGGAGCTATCCCACTTTTGGAAATGGACTGTGCTGTTAATGTTTCTGTGTTCCTGCAATGAATGTTTAGGCTCTGACGTGTCAGGGACTTAACTGGCTGTGAGGAAAGAGTGACTATCCAACCCCAAGCTCCAGTGGAATCTGCATGCATGTTACAAGAGATTAAACCCCATTTTTGAGCAATATCACACAAAATACACATTTCCATTTCTCCCTATATTGGTACCCACTTTTATCACATTGCTGTTGTTATACTCTCGTAAATCACTTCCTATCTTTTCTGGACTAAGCAGTGTATATCTGAGTGTATGAAACGAGACTATGTTCATATCTCTGCACTGGCTCATGGAAACCCAACATAGCACTAGTAGTGGTATTTTTTGACCACACAGATAGTTAGGGTTTATAATATTTTTTTTTTCTGAAAAAAGCAAGTTTTAAGCTCTGACTTAGAACAACAAGCACACATCCTGCAGGAATGCCCCTTAATGGAACGAGTCACAAAACACACATCGTTTTCTGGCATCTTTTGTTTTGTTTCTGGTGCTGGGGGATGGACAGGGTCCTCACCAGCTAGGCAGAGATTCTCCCACTGAGCTATGCCCCCTCTCCACTCTGTCCCATCTACATTTGTTTGTGAAAAGCTCCTAAGCTCTTTGTGTGTGTGTGTGTGTGTGTGTGTGTGTGTGTGAAAAAGTCTTTATTTTAAGAAAAAAATTTAGTTAACAAAATTTTTTTTAACAAGTTTCACTTAGCAAAATACACCCAAAAAGAAATCATATTACAAAGAAAGCTATAAGTCAAGGCCTCACCAATTCCTACAGTATTAGTATTGTGTCTCAATTCTCAAAACTAACTCTTTCTAAAAAGCTTAAACTCAACCTAAAAGGTTTATTTAAATGAAAATACAAACTAGAATGAATAAACATGAGAAATGTTCCTCTTTGAATTAAGGATCTAGCACCTTTGAGTTGTCTTCCCTCTCACATCTTATTGGGAATTTTACTTTTTGAACTGAGGCTGCTACACCCATTCTGCTCAGCCAGTGCAGTGGCCTGAGTTTTGGGTTGACACGGAAATGTGTGCCAGTGTGGTGGCCTCCAGCAGCCACAGACTCCTTCTCTTTCTCTCTGCACAGAAGGTCAGGAGAGCAGGCTGAGAGTTTGTAGGCACAGTTGGCTTAGGGAAGCCAGCAGCCCGAGGGGCTCCTCAAATTTGGTCCTTGTTGTCTTTTGTTTGTTTGTTTGTTTGATTTGTATTTTGAGACAGGGTCTCACTAGGTATTTGAGATTGACCTGAAACTCATTATGTAGCCCAGGGTGGTCTCGAACTCACAGTGACCCTCCTGCCTCAGTCTCCCGAGTGCTGGGATTGCAGGCGTGCGCCACCATGCCCGGCCCGTCCTTGTTGTCTTTGTGTACTTGGGAACGTGAAGAGCATCTGTTCCAGGCAGCTGTGTGTCGCAAAGTTCATTTCTCACCAATGAGAGGCCCTTAAGGTAGTGAGGTAGTGGGTCCAGCCTGACCTCACCAGTTTTTGGCTTTACATTCAGTGTACCCCTATAATTTCTTGACTTAGTGCTGCAACAAAATCTCAGCCAAAGTGTGAGTCAAATCCTTCCATGTACCTTGTGGCTCAAGGAAAGGTCACAAACCAGCTGCAAATTCAGGGCCCTGTCTTCCCTGTGTTTGTATCCTAAATCCAGCAACTGCCAAATAATAGGTCATTGGTACGAATTTGTCCAATGAATATTCATTTTTGACCTTTGAAATTTAGTTGTTTCCTATCCAGTTTGTTTGGCTCAAATATTGTTTATAAGTAAATAACTGCTTAGCAAGCAGATCTTTTTCAATTACAAAACTCTTTTCTATCAAAGGCTTTTGGACTTCACCCTAGTAGAAAACGTGATGATTGAAGCATAAAAGTCTCTAATTATTTTTTTATTGTCTCTTCCAGATTATTTGAATATATTTTGCTCTATAAGGAAGGAGTGATGTTCCAGATTGAACAAGCCACCAAGCAGTGCTCAAAGATCCCCCTGACAGTAGCCTGGGACCCTCTTGACATTCCAGACAACTCCACCTTTGAAGACCAGTACTCAATTGGGGGCCCCCAGGAGCAGATCACTGTCCAGGAGTGGTCCAACAGGAAGTCGGCGAGAACCTGTAAGGATCCAGAGGGCTTGAATGTTGCACCTTGGTGTGCAGAGTGGGCGAAGAGTTACATCTCTCAAGGAAGGAAGTTGGTAGCAAAATTAAGCCCATTTTAATGTCCACACATATCTTGCTAATTACGTTATGTTGGGATCTTAGTATCAGCCTTCTATTCCCCATGCACTTTTCTGCCCCTTTGGCCCTTTTGAACGTAGCCTTGGGTTTTGACTTTTTACGATCACCTCATGGTTTGTTACATGGTAAGGCATTTTTCCAAGGTACATATCTGCATCGGGTGCTGCCTTTTCTTCCACCCACATCACTTCCGAAATTGCAGTGACCAGATCTTCTCCATTATTCTGATTGTCAAAGTGGCCTGCTTTTCCTGTAATTCTGAGATCCTTTAAAATGCATAGGCATTCATGTCATGGGAAATGATGTGGCATTTTTTTTTCCAGAAAAACATAAAATCACCATATGGTCAATAATTGTAGTTCTGGATATATACCTGAAGGAATTGATGGCAGGGATTCAAACAGATATTTTAACACCCACGTCCATAGTAGTATTATTCCCAGCAGACAAAAGCTTGAAATAACCCAAATGCTCATGAGTAGATAAATGGATTTTAAAAATGTGGTCTATGCACTATGTAAAATATTATTCAACCTTAAAACGGAAGCAAATTCTGGCATGTGCTGCAATATGAATAAATCTTGAATACATTACAGTAAAAGAAGTGAAGCAGTCGCAAAGGACGCATGTTGCCTAACTCCAGTTATATGAAGAACCCAGGTGACACCCAGTACATGCCAGATGGCAGCATGGTAGTTTACAGGCACCGGGAGAAGAGAGAAATGGGAAATTATTGTTTAATAGACACAGTTTTCAGTTTTGGGAAATGAAAAAGTTCTTGAGAGGGACTTGATGGTTGTACAACAATCTGAAAGTACTTCATGTTTGCAAGCTGTATACTTAAAAATGTCAAAATGGTACATTTTTCTGTTTTGTTCATTTTACTACAAGAGGAAAAAAACTTACAGGCGCTTTGCCTGCCATTATTAAAAAGTCACTCTGCTTTCTCTTACAGATGAAACCTGGATTGGTGTCTATACAGCCAAGGATTGTTATCCTGTCCAGGAAACCTTCATCCAAAATTACACTGTAGTCCTGTCCACACGGTTTTTTGATGTACAACTGGGCATTAAAGACCCGTCTGTGTTCACCCCTCCAAGCACATGCCAGATGGCCCAGACGGAGAAGATGAGCGAGGACTGTGCCTGGTGATCTGCAGGCAGCAGGAACCTCGGCGGGGAGCGGATCTGAGAGTCTTCACTGCACATGAAGATAATGTAGGGTGAATAATCCTTTGTATGTTTGACATTGGCTGCATGGCTGCGTTCACAGAAGGAAACTGGTTGGATTTTCTGCATGTCAGTGCTGGGCTGTCCGAAGACGTGGGGGGATCAGCATGAGCAGTTTGTCTTGGAAGGATCGAGTACTTTCTTACTGACACTGTAAGAATTAATGGCAGTAGCACAAAGAAAGGCCCCAGTTTTGCTGCACCAGGGTGGCAGTTGTCCCCATTGACCCCCACCTCCACCTCCACCTGTCCCCTCTGTCCCTTTGGCTGCTAACAAAATGAGCCGTTAAAATGCCTTCTATACTCACAAGCTTCATGGTGTGACCTGATGGATAGAAATAATTTGGAAGGAAATGAAAGGCCTTAATACAAAGTAATAATTCCTCGAAAGGGGAAAGGAAAGGGGAGAAAAAATTATAAACAAAAGCTGGGACAACCTTAGTACCTATACCTGGAGAAGTGTGGGCCATGCATGTGCTTGCTCTATGCACGAGTATCTCTTACTGTGCTGAATCTTCACAGACAGTCGGTGGGCAGAGAGTATTTGAAAATAACGCAGAAGTAGGTACCAGAGACTATCACCTCCCAAATCCAGGGTTAGAATTCCTTTGCATCTTGTGCTCTTAACTTCTCCAGGCATTAAATGCACTAGGCTTTCCTCACCTTAGCCTTCCTGGGACTCTGTTTTGCAACGTCTGTGTCTGTCTGACTTCTGCTCATCTTTCCCAGGTTGGCTCACACATAACCTTTTCTGAGAGCCACACCCAAGCCCAGATGAGTTACATTTGCAGCTTGAGCATGCTTTTCTCATGACACTTATGCTCTGGGCCAATTTCTTGCCTCCTGGACACGACACCATCCTGTACTATCCTGCCTAAGAGTCCCCCAAGTATGGGTACTGTGTCCTGTTTTCTTTTATATCCCCAGTACCAACCAAGTGCCTGGCACACATTGAGCACCCTCAACATTTGTAGAGTGGCGAATACTACCCTCTCTGATCTTGTTTCCTTCTGGGTTAAGTGGGGTTGAATTTGCTGATCACTGGGAGATTTCCAGCAATGCAATTTATTCTAGATTCTTCCACTATTGTGTTTAATCTGGCCAACTATCTGTAGCTATCAGGAGAAATGTACGATACCTGTATTATGGTGAAAAAATCCATTACTCATGGTTTGTCTGTATTAATAAACAAATTTAATTGCATCCCCAAGCATTCTTTGATCTATTTGCTTTTGTAACAAGTATGAATGACTTTGATTATAAGGAGTGGAAATTCTTCTCTAATGAATCAATAAAGTGCTTCACATGATCCAAACCAAATTGTTATCCTTTCCCAGAAGACTGCTCTGCTGATTACCTTTCCAGATGTCTATTTTCCAGCTGCTTTAGAATCATTTGTGACCCACGTTTCTCCTTCCAATTCCACCACCAGTTGGTACTCTGAGTACCATCAACAGTTCTTAAAGCTATTGCTTTTGTCCAGAGCCTCAGCTACCATCAGTTTTGGCCTTTTGACATCCTGTCCTCTGGGGGATATTGCCACCCTCCATCCTTGCCATGGCCTTTTCTTCTAGAAACTGTCCCATCTCTTGCATTCACTCATTGGTAATGATAACCATTGGTGAGCACCTTTTCTCTCTGGTCCCCAGGAGAGTGGTTGGACTCAAAGAGGAGGGTTAACCAAACTAAGGCAGGCATCTGGCCTGAATAGACTCAGAGAACCATCACAGCTAAGTTGTGGAAGGTCCAGCCTGGAGAGCATTCATAGCAACGTTGGTCCTATTTCCATTCCCCAACCGCACAATGGCCCCCTCCCCTCCCTGTCTTACCTTTTGTTGCTGAGACAAAATACTCAATACCCACAAGTTAAAGGAGGAAAGGTTTACCTTAGCTTATAGGTTGTAGAAATTTCAGTCCATAGCTGGCTCTAAGGCAGTGCAGCATGGCACAGTGGCATGGCAGAGAAGAAACAGTTCATGGAGTGCAAGCAGGAAGCAGTGAAGCAGCGACAAGGAAGCTGCCTTCCCTCTGTCCCTTCATGTTCCACCCAGGATACAAGCCTATTGGTGGTGCCACCCGCACCTCGGGCAGACCTTCTCATTATCCACACCCAGGGACCAGGGATATGCGAAAACAATCAGTGGGATAATTGAATTATCACACACCCTTAATCCAGCTTCACACACTCTGAATCCAGCCACCTCTGCAAAGCCCCACCTGTGAGCACATGAGGCTTTTGGGGGACATCAGGATATAGCCATAACACTCTCAAAATGGCACACCTCCCCTTACCCCTGCAGTTCTGTCCTTGCCTGTCCCAGACCAAATCCCCACTCAGAAAGCAGAAAGGAAGAAAACTTCGTTTATTCAGGAACACACAGTGTGTGCCCTTCTCTTTTTCAGTTGGCCCCTCCTACTAGTTAAGCCATCTCACAGACATGAATGAAATCTCAGAAGGATTGTACATCTGGTGGAGAGCTCAACAAGGATGTGATGGTGACCTGACCCTGTGGTTGTATTTGTGTACAAATAAAGGGAGTCCCCTTAGCCTGGAGGTCCAGTTTTGTTTTGATCAGGCCTGAGACTCCCCAACACTGGTTCTGCTCTTTCTTTGAGAAATAACGGCCGGGTTACCTCTGGGTGGCAGGAGGGTTTCCTTAGCTGGCACTCTGGCTAGAAAAGATCAATTACATATGGTGGGGACTGGTATCTTTCGATGCCAAGGAGCATCACGGCATCACACACTTGCCGACATTGGCATTGAGGAAGAAAGGTGTAAACTAGAGTCGGTACCATTTCGCAGATGCCCTGCTTCCTACATTTCTAACTCCTTAAGCTGCGTGGGAAAAACTGACTTCTGCTTCTCCCAAGGCAGCCTCGCTCCATCTAAACTGCCAGCATCCATCCAGCACCCGGCTGTGCTCAGCTTTTCACCTGCCTTCACCTCTGCCTGGCTGAAGAAAGCCCGGGCCCAGGGCATACACAGCCACTCAGTCACCTCTCTCTCTCTCACTGGGCCTCATGCAGTCAAGGCAGCCTGCCTGGTCTTTCTGCCCCATGTTTCCTTATCAGAATGACTGAGATTTCCTAAAATTGAAACACATTTAAAAGTTACTTAAATATGTAAAGGCCAAAATGTTTGGACTTCTGGGGAATTTTCCATAAATGACTTGCAGTTCCTAACCCAGCTAAATTCCACAGCATTTGAAAACTCTGTGAGCACTTTTTTCTGGGTTTCCTGTATTGATCTCACCCTCAATGTGCCTTTTGTTATTTTAAAATCGCCTTGTGTTTGTATCCCCCGTATCACCAAGTCTTTTTTAACCTTTTCCAAATTTGTAGATCTGGCCTTCTGCCATCTGCAGAAAGCACCTTGGGCGCGGGAACTGTGTTTCATCTTTCTTGTTGAGTCAAAATAAGTGGATGATTTAAATTAGATGACAGAATGAGACTCCTCAGCCAAAGACTTCAGAATAATTTATGTACACCTCACAAAGAGACAAAATTAACTTTAATCTATGAATAGTCTGGTATCAGTATTCAACTCTTTTGAAGAGTGTCCTAGGATAGCAACAAAAGAAATATGTTCTGTTTTTACTTGTTTTACAGCAGAAATATTAGCTCCACTGCACATGTAGAGAAAAATGTTTGGACTATAATTTATTGTATATTTTATACAGGAAGAATGATGCTTACTTCTATGATATTCCACTTTAAAATACATATTGTTTCCATTAGAGTAAAAATAATATTTTCAATAATTATTTCATATTTAAAGTTGGAAAATGTAATGCTGCTCCAGCAATTAAGGAGTGGACTATAATGATCCCTTCATTTAGGAGTAATCTTTTGGTGAATGCGATATCCACAGCATTTAAGCAATGCGAGTATATGTGTGCCTGTGAAATGGAATGATTGCAGGGTATGATTCCCAATGGCATACTGTCTATTTATTCTAACATAACTTTTCAAATCATAGCTAAGTGCTCTTTTCTGTCATCAGGATAATAATTTATGGCCCGATAGGTACCCTTCTTACTAAAACATGGCTACCTCCATGTCATTTGTAGTAAGCCTCTAGTTTTGAATTAAGAAACTACCCCAAAATGATACAGTAATAGGTTATCTGTTATTGTATAAAATTATTTTTCAAAACCAGCATGTTCACAACTGCAGTTGGTGGATTAGTCTGTTTTCATCACTGCAGTGAAATACTAGAGGCAGGCTAGTTATAGAGAGAAGTTTATTTTGTTTCATGGTTATGGAGGTCCAAGGTCATGGAGCTGCATCTGGTGGTGTCCTCCTTGCTGCCAATGTACCATGATTGCACAAGGCATCAGGGAAGCTAGGGAAGCTATAGGGAATGTGTGTGTGTGTGTGTGTGTGTGTGTGTGTGTGTATTAAGTGAACTTTTCTCAGTTGATCTAGCTCTTCTGAGGGATAATAAAGTGAAGACAGACTGCTTTGTCTTTTGTGACCTTAAGAAATCTCAGTGACTTTATGGTACAGATCCACATCATGGAAATAAGCAAGCAAGCAAATATATATGATTTGTGCAATTCTTTATAGGTTAACTATCTCTTCATAATCCATCCTTCATAGTCACCTCCCAGATTAGCCCCTACCCATGTGTTCTGATCACAATAACTCACAGCATATAGAGAGCAACCTCTGGTGCCTCAAAGGTTTTCAGGCAGATCACAAAAATTCTCATATCTATCACTAAGGATTTTGCTTTAACTCTTTATGGATCCTATCTCAGTAATATCAATAAATATGGTTTACAGCACTCCCAGAAAATTCTAGCTCAAACTACCTATATCCCAAACAGCAAAGAGAGGAGGAAGAGGGAGAAGGGAAGACAGAGGAAAAATGATTTATCATTATAAATTTGTAATCCAAAGGAGTTGACACATATTGAAGATTAAACATGAGAACAGCCAAGCAATACTGAAAAATCACTTTAGACGTTTTCAGTTCAGACACCACTGCTGCAAGTTACCTTAACACAGAGTGTTCCCAAACTGAATGTTCTTCCATAAACCATGACAGATGGGCCTCTCTTATTATAAATTCACAATTGTTCCCATATCTGTGGATCCATTTACCTTATAGTAGATGTTTCTATTTAATGAAGAAGGAAAATAACCTTAAAGAGAATCCCACTAACCTTGAGAATAGTGCTCCTGCTTTATCCAGATAATTCAAATGTTTCTAATAATACAAGGATGACAGGACCTCTTACAGTATGTTCAGCAGATCCTCCTAGAATGGAGGCAGGTAAGAACTTTCCCTAGATTCTTGCTGTAAATGATCATTCGGTATATCCAATTCATTAAAAAATAAGTTTGTTAATAAGGCTTCCATTTATATGAATCCACGTGTCTCTGGAAGAATGGTCAGCACAAATTTACTCAGCATAAATTGGATAAACTTAGCTTCCCAAACTGGGAAAAAGACTAAGCTCTATGATAACAGTTGTGATAGTGTGGATCTGGAATATTCCCCCAAGGCTGCATGGGTTAAAGGCTTGGTCTTTAGTGCAGCAAAGTTCAGAGGCCAGGCTCATGGGGTCCTAAGGTCGGTAGCTCCATTAGTGGGTTAATCCACAGAAGGATTCATGGCTAAATGGACTGTTGGGAGTTGATGAAAATTTAGGAGGTGAGGTCTCCTTGAAGGGAGCAGATCATGGGGACATGCCCTTGTGGATCATATTTTGTCCCTGGCCCCTTGATCTCTAACATTCTATTTCCTGGCCACCATGAAGTGAGCACCCTCCTCTTCATTCGATTCCATTGCCATGATGTTCTGTTTCACTTCGACCCCAAAGAATTGGAGCTGGTGGAACATACCCTAAAGCCTCTGAAACTGTGAGCCAAAATAAACCTTTCCTCCTTTAAGTTGTTTTTCTCAGGTATTTTAGCTAGGAAACGAAAAGCTAACTGAAAGAAGTCCAGGTCCAGTAACTAACGAGTGGATAAATTAGCTCTTTAGCTATGTGAGCCATGGAAAGAGAAGGTCTGAAAGCCCAAGGCTGAAAAACTGGAGAAATCATGAAGTCCAATTACAGCAAGATTGCCATTGGATTGCAGTCTCAAGGTGTAATCAGCATTGGGCTGACATGAAAAAACATTGAAATGTTATCATTTCATCTGAAGACAAAGTGTTTTAGCAGAAGGAGACTGATTTACATAGAGTCTAGTTATGGAA